CGGGGGCCAAGCCTCGCTTGGGGGGGTATTGATGCCTCCCGCGCATCGGGTGGCCCCCCTTTTACGCACCAACTTTGATCCTTGGCGGGGGGTGTCCGTGTCTCCTGCACCCCAGAAACCCCCTTTGCAAGTTCTCCATAGTTATTCCTGAGCCCCCCACCCCCGCAAAAGGACCACCACTTTTCCCTTACACCCCAGATTCAGGGAACCCCTCCTTACCTGTCCTCCCTCTTCTCTCTCCTCCACCAGCAGCCTTGATGTCTGTTAAATGTCCTTCCTGGGCTATGCTTTCCTCTCTCTCCTTTTATTCTTCACCACCCCCCCCTCCCTCGATCCTATATCTGACTTTGCTTTGATCTGCTTCTCCTCCTTCTGGACCCTCTTCCATCCAGCGCCCCCCCCCTTCCCCGCTTCTTCCATGACATCATTCCTGGGAGCCTCCTGGATGTGCCACTTCTTTGGGGCCTTTCCCTTCCTTTCTCTCTCACAGAAGAAAAACAACAACAGTAGGGAAGGGTTGATGATGGATGATAATGGGGCAGGGGGATCGGCACCCACCCATGGGGGGAGATCGGTCGGGTGGAGGGCGAGAAGGAGAGCCAAGCTGTCCGCCAGGTGGGAGTTCGGGGTGATGGTACACCCCTTCTTTCGCAGTGCTTGGGGGTTTATCTTGGTTTTTATTTTTAAAGGATCGGTTTATTTTAATTTTTAGTCCTTTTCCAGAGTTGGGGAAGCCAAAGGCGCAGAGAGCAGGCCTCTGCCCCAAGGAGCATCCAGTTGGTATAAAAGGAATGCGTTCTTGGGGTTTGCGTGGCTGAATTTCTGACTGTAAAATTAAGAGTTGGGCCAGCGGTCTAGGATCGCCTCTCTGTTTGCGTGGCTGAATTTCTGACTGTAAAAATAAGAGTTAGGTCAGCAGTCTAGGATCGCCTCTCTTTCTTACCCCGTTTTAGAAGGGGAAGGGGAAGCATCCAGGAGGACATCCCAGCCCCCCCCCAACAGGGAGGCCTCCCTCACCCTCCCTCCCTCCTCCATCTTAATGTTTGCAATCCTGGCAGATATCCCGAGAGGCTACTGGCCGTGGGCCGTGTCAATATGTGGTATGTGGATCATGACCACAGCGTAACTCAAGGAAGTCTGTTGGACCGTGCAAGACCCTGTGTCATATTTTGGTGTCCAGCTTCATGGATTTCTGAAGCACTTCTGCTGACCCCCTCCCCACCGTGCTCCTGGGGAAGGAGGGCCATGATCCATGAAAACTCACGTTGTAATAACTCAGTCTTTGAGGTTTTGGTCACCCACGGACTTGGTGGCGACCTCTTGAGAATAATAATCTCAGATTTGCAGAACCGGAAGGGACCTCTAAGGATCATCTAGTCCAGCCCCTATCAAGGAGGCCCCGTGGGGGGATCGAACCCCCAACCACTGGCTTCCCAGCCAGAGGCCCAACACACTAAAACTCACGTTGTAATAACTCAGTCTTTGAGGTTTTGGTCACCCACGGACTTGGTGGCGACCTCTTGAGAATAATAATCTCAGATTTGCAGAACCGGAAGGGACCTCTAAGGATCATCTAGTCCAGCCCCTATCAAGGAGGCCCCGTGGGGGGATCGAACCCCCAACCTC